GAGCTCTCTTTCTTTCTGACCTAGGATGTCCATATTCTCCTGCTCTTGGACATTGGCTTCCCTGGTTCTTGGGCCTTTGAACTTGGACTTAATCATACCATCAGCTTTTCTAGTTCTCTAGCTTGCAGTCGGCCTCCATAATCATGTGAGCCAATTCCCATAAAATATCCCCTCTTACATACCCTACTGGTTCTGTTTCTTTGGAGAACACTGACTACTACAATAGTGAACTGATCTTTGATAAAGGAACAAAGTCAATTCAATGGAGAAAGAATAGTTCTTTCAACAAATGGTGAACATTCTGACATCTACTTGCAAAATAAATAAATAAATAAATAAATAAGTAAAATAAAATCTAGACACTGACCTTACACTTTCACAAAAATCAACTCAAAATGGAACATAGACCTAAGATGCAAAAATATAAACTGTCTAGAAGATAACCGAGAAAATCTGTACGATCTTGAGTTTGGCAAGAACTTTTAAACACAACACCAAAAGCATAATTTGTGGGGAGATAAAATTAGTAAGTTAGACTTTGTCAATATTAAAAACTTTTGGGCTAGCCATGATGGCTCACACCTATAATTCTAGCACTCTGGGAAGCTGAGGTGGGCGAATTGCCTAAGCTCAGGAGTTAAGAGACCAACCTGAGCAAGAGTGAGACCCTATCTCTAAAAAACAGCAAGGTATTATGGCAGCTATAGTCCCAGCTACTTGGGTGGCTGAGGCAAGAGAATCACTTGAGCCAAGAGTTTGAAGCTGCTATGAGCTATGACACCATGGCACTCTGCCGAGGGTGACAAAGGGAGACTCTGTCTCAAAAAATAACATAAAATAAAATAAAATAAAATAAAAAACTTCTGTTCTGCAAAAGACACTATTAAGAGAATTAAGATGCAATGTGCATATCTTTTAAAGGACTTGTATCCAAAATATGCAAAGAACTCTTTAAAACACCACAATAAGAAAATCAATTAAAACATTGGCAAAAGATGTGATCAGTTACCTCACCAAAAAAGATACACAGACAGCAATTATACTTATAAAAAGATGTTCAACATCAGATGTCCTAATGGGAATTGCAAACTAAAACGAGATACCACTATATAACTGTCAGAACGGCTAGCATAAAAAAACTGATACCAAATGCTGGTGAGGATGTAGAACAATAGCAACACTCATTCTTTGCTTGTAGGAATGCAAAATGGTACACTTTGGGTCCACAAAAAAAACTGTCAGTGAATGTTTATAGTACCTTCATTCCTACTGCCCAAACCTGAAAGCAACCAAGATACCTTTCAAAAAGTGAATGGGTAAACAAATTGTTGTACATTCATATAATGGAATATTTGCAAAGAAAAAGAGCTGTCAAGCAACGACAAGACATGGAGCAATGGAGAAAACTTGCTCAGTGGTTAAGGCACTGGTCACATGCTCTGGGGTTGGTGGGTTTGCACCCGGCTCAGGCCTGCTAAACAAAAAAAAAGCCAGGCATTGTGGTGGATACCTGCAGTCCCGCCTACTCAGGAGGCTGAGGCAAGAGAATCACCTGAGCCCAAGAGTTGGAAGTTGCTGTGAGCAACCATGATGCCACAGGACTCTACCAAGGGTGACAAAGTAAGACTCTGTCTCAATAAAAAAAAAAAAAAGAAGAAGAAGAAAGAAACTTAAATGTATATGGCTTAATGAAAAAAGCCAGTCTGAAAAGGCTACATCTGACATTCCGGAAAAGGCAAAACTATAGAGATAGTAAAAACACCAGTGGCTGCCAGAGGCTTTGGGGAGGTGGTAATGGTAGATACATATCATTATACATTTGTCAAAACTCATAGAACACAAAGAATGAACCTGAATGTAAACTATGAACTTCATTTAATAGTAATGTATCAGTATTGGTTCATCATTTGTAATAAATGTACCATAGTAATGTAAGATGTTAAAAATAGGGGCAGGCGAGAGGAGTACATGGCAACTCTGTGTAAAATCTTCTTATTTTTTCTGTAAAGCTAAAACTGCTCTAAAATATAGGCTATTAATTTAAAAACAAAAAATAACAGTGGCTGTCTGGAAGTAGCAGTAATTAGGAATCAGTGCCCTGCTCAGAAGAAAACATAGGCAATGTCTGATGGTTCTGAGTTACAAGCAGACAGGACTTGATCCTGATTCTATTACCTGTGTGCCCCCAGGGACTGCCTGGCACATAAGTCTTTTTTTTTTTTTTTTTTTTTT